TATTTTGTGATATAATAATTTTAAAGGTGATAAGCCGAAAAAGACGATAGTGCAACCGCCACAAATCGCATGAACTATTATAACTAAGTGTCTTAAATGTATAGTACAATGAATATATTGGATGAAAGAACGTGACTTGACGGTCAAATAGTAAGATACAAAAAACCCTATCTCACTCAATAGTCAAACTGTTGTGTTCTCTCGTGTCCCGCCGTTAAGAAATAAGTTTATAATCAAACTGGCAACGTTGCTTCCATAAGTCTGTATAATTAAAAGAGCAGAGCGTTGAAATCATTCTTAAGGTTTTGAATTCTACACGTTGCCGGATTGCTTATTAACTTCCCTTTTATTTGAATTTGTCGCCGTTTAGAAAATATCTGTTCCAACTGCTGAAAACAGTTGTTTGAATTTATCGCTCAAATATACTAAAATTATTGCTATTAATAGACCGCCCGGTCGAGTTATTTTTCTACTTGATATTTATTGCCCATTAGTATTGTAAATACATTGTATTTATAAAGTGTACGTTCGTCATCGTGTCATCGATTTAGTCAATATTTGTTACACATTATTCAAGTACCCCATTACTTAATATTGTGGTCTTTCTGTTAAGTTATTTTTTAGCAGAAATTGTTATGTTTGATGGAAATTTAAAATTTTCTTTAACGTTTTATTTGATATTATATATAAATGATATAATTTATAATTTAATTTAATCGGTAATTTAATAATAATTTAATCAGTTATGCATTCCAATAATTTTTAATTGAACATTTTAACTTTTAACAATTTTAATTCGAAAATATTAATAATTTTTTGAATTTTGAACTTTATAGTTATAAAAATTTGCTTGAAATATTACAAATAAAAATTTAAATATGTTATTTAAATAGATTTACAGAGTTATTGATTTATCATTGACTACTAAGTTTCCCTAAAGTAATAATAATTTTGGAAGTATTTTTTATTGGCCTTGTTGAGTACCATTGATCTTTAAATTTATACATGGTAAAATACTTTTTAAGTCTATCCTTATTTCTTATAAAAGTACCAACTTAATTTTTTGATAGCAGAATACAATTTTAACTTACTTATAAAAAAAATAAAATGGTTTAATATAAAAAATGACGAGTTGTTAATAACCATTGGACCAGTACTTCGGAAATGATTAGTACTTTTATATTTAGACAAAATTAAATGCGCGGCCGTTAAACGTCTAATGGTAATTTTTAGTCATAAATGTTTTAGAGCAATAACTTCATAAATATTAAAACTGTTCATCGAAAATTGTTTGAAATATAACAAAATAAAATTTAAATAAATTATTTTAAAAGATGTACAGAGTGATTGATTTATTATTGAAAACTAAATTACTTTTACAATAATAATAATCTTGAACATATTTTTTTTTTGGCTCTCATAATTAATGTAATATTAATTTATAAGTAGTTTAATATGTTTTAAATCTGACCTCTTATAATATCACTAATATAATTTTTTTAAATAGCTTATATAATTGTTTCTTTCCACCCGAGAATAGAGAATAAAAGTTTTTTTATAACATTTTATGGTGCTTTATACAATACAATCACCTTTAATTTACAGTAATCTGCTAGTTTTTAATGGGACCGATTTCAAAAAAAATGTTCTAAAGTATTTTTTTGTTTTAAAAACTTATGATTTATGAACTCAAGACCTATTTTTGGCCATTAACCGACCTATTTCTAACATATCTAAAATTAAAATTACCCTCTATATATTTTTAATATGCTTAATTTTAAGTAAAATTAAAACTATATTAAAAATATTATTAATTTAAAAAACTTAAAAATATTAAACTCAAAGCCACAAAAAATTATTGAAAAGTCGCGGATACGTATTTCGGAAACAATGTTACGATTATCAACGCTAAACACATACTGACACACTGACTAGAAAAAACTCCCTTATATATCCCTAGTGACCTTATCACCTAGTGACGTCATCATTAAGTAATATTATCACATTTTGCCAGTTTGCACAAGTTTAATAATGAATTTTTTAGTGGGCCAAGATCCCAATTAATTAAATTGTTTTTATTTTTAAACATTTCTATTGCTTCTCTGATATTAAGTTCTTTGTAATTATTTACGTTTTTAATTAGTTTTATGGTTTTAATGGAGTGATTATGTGTCAATAAATGTTCAGCCACTGGAGATTTCTCAACTTCTTGATTTTTAANTCGGCCACTGGAGATTTCTCAATTTCTTGATTTTTAATATTTCTTAAGTGCTCTTTAAACCTGACCCCTATATTTCTTTTTGTTTGTCCTACGTAACATTTATTACAACTTTCACATTGTATTTTATAAATGCCTGATTTCCCCCCTCCAACTACCTTATCTTTAGGTTTACANCTTCATCTACCTTATCTTTAGGGTTACCTAATAAATCTCTTAAATTATTACTCTTAGATGTTACCAAAGTAATACCAAAATTCTTAAATATTTTAGTTAATCCATTTGAGATGCCCGGATAATATAAAATTGGTGATCTAATTACTTTTTGTTCCCCCTCGCTGGTGAGTGTACCAGCTGCCCTCCTTTCTTTTTTCCACTTTTGTGTTCGGACTAATTTTGAAATAATGTTTTCGTTATACCCATTAAATTTAGCTATTTCTTTTATAACCACCANAAATTATGTTTTCGTTATACCCATTAAATTTAGCTATTTCTTTTATAACCACCAATTCTTTATCATAATCTATTTTATTCATCGGAATATTAATTAATCTGTAAACCATACTATTAAAAGCTGACAATTTGTGTTGCCAGGTGTGGTTCGATGTGTTCGGAATGTATCTGAACGTGTGTGTGTTTTTCCGATAAATTTCAAAATTTAGTTCCCCCTCTGTTCTTTTAACTAATAAATCCAAAAAAGGCAATTTTCCCTCTATTTCTTGTTCATATGTAAATTTAATCGATGGGTAAAAAGAATTTAAATGTTGTATGAAAACCCCCATATTAAAATCTTTATTTATAACTGCAAAAATATCATCTACATACCTAACCCAAATTTTTGGAAAATCACCATAAGTGTATTTTAAAATTGTTTCAAACCTACTCATGAAAAGTTCTGCTAAAAATGGTGATAGCGAATTTCCCATTGCTGTGCCCTCAGTGNGATAGCGGATTTCCCATTGCTGTGCCCTCAGTTTGCTCATAAAATTTATTTTGAAACTGAAAAACATTTTGACTCATACATAACTTTGTTAAATTAATAAGCTCATTTATTTTATCCTGTTCAATGTTTTGGTCCTTTAGCCAGTCTTTAAGAAAATTAATTGTTATATTTATTGGAATATTCGGAAATAAGGCAACTACGTCTAATTGTTTAACTAAGTCAATATTATTTTTAACTGAAAAGCTATCGAATTGTTTGAAAGATGAAAATACCCTTACTAGGTGTTTAGCCAAATTGTAAGTCGGAGCATTAATATTCGACACAATAGGTCTCATAGTACTTCCTGGCTTATGTATTTTTGGCAAAGCATATAGTTTAGGTATTTGAGGGTTTGAAAATTTAATGAAACACCTGAACTTTTCTTCGATTATTAATTTTGAACTATTTATGACGTTTCTAGCCTCCCTTATCATTTTACTTAATGGATTTAATCTATAAGGGAAATCAGGCATTTATAAAATACAATGTGAAAGTTGTAATAAATGTTACGTTGGACAAACAAAAAGCAATATAGCTATTTCTAGCTATATTAGCTATATTTCTTAAGTGCTCTTTGAACCTAACACCTATATTTCTTTTTGTTTGTCCTACGTAACATTTATTACAACTTTCGGCGGGACGAAACAGTTTTTGTACGTGTGTCGGTCCGCAGTGGCATTTATAACGTTACGAATTTCTTGTAGAGCGGCACTCAATGGCGTATTTTGGGGGGGTGTCCTCCATGTCTGGACACCCCCGACTTAAAAAAATGCCTAATATATTAGTATTAACTTTTTTTATAATATACTATATTTATTCACTATAAAATAAATGGTATTTTAAATAAATAACAAAATTGAAGATAATTTGATAGGATTGGAAGACACGTATTTATCTATATTTTATGAGATTTCTAGAAATTATTTGGATTTTATTGGGTCATTTAGATAACAAAAACACCCGTAGCAAAAATATAATAACAACGGAAATATTTTGAACTTGTAGTTCATTTTTTAATTTATTTTAGTTTATCAGTTTAGAGAATTATAAACAAATAAGTTTAGTTACCCCTATTCAATATACCGCATTCATAAAAAATACAGAAAAGAATTTTTTATAATTAAAATAGTATTTAAAAAATAAACAAAAGTTATGAAATTCTTTATGAATCGTCATTTAGTAAAATTAAATTTAAGTTGTTAAGATAGTAGATACGCTTGTTAATTTAAAAATTTATAATTGGCTGACTTTTTAACTTAATTGTATCCATAACTGTATATTATAATATTTGTATATTCACATAACAAGAACATTAAATTATTTCAGTTAAGATAAATTTGTATTAAATTTGAATTTCTTAAATGAAATGTTACAAAGAAAAATAAGATTAAAATAAAATAACAAAACAACAATTAAACATAGAAAAAGTAAAAAAATGTTTGGTGGTATACAAATAAAAATTTCAATTTATAGTGAATATTAAGAAAATTGATATAAAATACAAAAATAAAATTTCATTCATAAAAATATTAATTGAATAGCTCGCCAGCAATAATTTCATTTTTGTGTCTTAATCTTATAAAAGGCATAAAATTTGCATTTATTGGTGTTGTATCTCCTCGAGACATTTTTTCTGCCAGCTCAACAGTAAATGGCCCACAATCATGTCCATTGGTTTGGCGAGATGTCTCGCCTATTTGTAATGTCCATGTAGAAGCTTTTCCTTTTTTGTCCATCTCCCATTCAATTAAGAAATTTTTTAATATCATTGGATAGGAACCCTTATACGACTTAAGACTATCATATGATGTNGGGACCCTCATACGACTTAAGACTATCATATGATGTCACAGTCTTTTCAGGTATATTAACCACTGTCAATATCCAATGACTCTCATATACATTCATGGGCACAAAAAGTAATTTTATTGTGTGAATATCTTTTTTTATCCATCTTCTTACAGCTGGATAACCTCCTCGAAGATACGCTACAATAAAATCAGTGACAACTGCATAAACTTCACCTTCTGACCGTTTTACTATCATTTTAATGTACTCATTAATTGTGTCTGAAGTATACCATGATGTGAGCGATTTAAATGAAGGTGCATTATACTGATCAATAGATTTTGTGTTATGATCTTGCATTACTTCTGCAAGTGTAACCATATTTAAACATTTTTCATAAAATTAATAAAAGACTTTGTGGAACAGTTTACTATTATTTAGGTTTATTTAAGATTTTGGAATATGAAATTAAACACGTATAATTACTTTTGTTTAAAACGTCCATGGACCCCCTTAATGACATNTTAAAACGTCCATGGACCCCCTTAATGACACGCCTCTGCAGAAGTTATATTAATTTAACTCGTATTATTATAATTAATTATGTTTAATAAATAATCTTTTTTTATTTAATTTTACATAAAATAAATAGATTAAATAACTAATTACCTTTTTCTTTCTCTGGTACTTTTATTACTTCAATAGTGGACAGAGCAAGTAAATTTACGTCATTCGGCGTATTTAAGGTCAAAGGATTAGAACTAACTTTTGGCTCTAAAATAATTTATGTTTAAAAATATTACATATTTGTTTCAAAAATCAAAACTTCATATTTTTTAAAAATGAATTATATTTTAAAAGTTGTATACTTTTTATAACTTTTTCATCTTCTTCGGATGAATTTCTTTTTAAATTTGGTCGAGCAGTAGTATTAGAAGATATCTCAAAAAGTTGTTTTTTTATTTCGGATTTTTTGCGTTCCAAATTTTTCTTATGAAAACACTTAACGGATCATAAAAATATATTTAATTATATGATAAATTTATTTCAAAAATCTGCTTTAAGTCTAAAAAATGGTTTAGGGTATACCCTAAAATCTTTTTATTGAAATAAAGCATAATAAAATATACCTTTTCTAACAAATCAGCTGATATTAATAGCGGATTGTCTTTTGAAATTGCTATATTTTTTTTTTCTGTTAAATTTAAAATTTCATTTTTATATTTTTCAGATTTTTCATTCTGAAAAAGTTTTCCGAATTCTCTTTCTTGTGTCATATTCTAGGTAACCAAAGAGATATTTAAATAAACAAATAAACTATACTTAATATTATATTATTATCTTCAATAAAAATTGAATTTCCCATAAAAATCTAATAGAAAAAATAGCAGAATAATATTAAACATTATGTTACTGCATTTATACTAAGGTGGTTGATAGTCTATTTTATATTTTTGAATAATTAATATAATTATAGTTACCAATTTTTCTGGAATAATTTTATCATTTTTATTCGTTTTTCGATACGTGCGTTTTTTTGGAATAATGGAATTTTTTATAGGATAAATATTTTTATTAATAATTGCTGCAAATTGAATATAATTTTAATAATTATTAATTAAATAATCAATTTCGAAAAAGGTTTTTAATATTAAAATAGTTAAATTAAAGTAAAGCGACTGAATTATTGTTATATATGAATAAGAGAACTTATTATTAATTTTTCTTATATTTTATATTAAAAAACTTTTTCTCTATTCGAAATAGTCAGTTTAATTATTAATCTTAATAGTATTTACAGATAATTCTTCCATANATTATTAATCTTAATAGTGTTTACAGATAATTCTTCCATCTTTAGTTGACTTTTTTGATATTTGTCCTTTATTTGTATTATTTAAAACACAATTGGAATGCATGAAACGACGATTCCATATTTCTTCAACTCTGCGTATGACCTTATGTAAGTTTGATTCATTTGTTTGACCAAAAATATTTTTTTCACTTGCCATATCAATAACTAATTAAATAAATCTTAATAATTACACAAGACGATAGTTTATTTTTCACTGGAAAAAACGAAGTGAACTGAAATGTCGATAAAATCAACATTTACATATAATTGTCAAGGAAACTTAATTGTAAAAATTCATTAAAAAAATGTATAAGCCAATTATAAATAAATTTAGTATAAACAATACTTATTTATTTTAATTGTATTATTGGTCAAAGAATACAATATTTTAAGAATAATACAGAATTATCAAAAAAAAAAAAAATATATATATATTTTAAAGATATTTTGAAGAAAAACCTTTTGTATTTGTTTGTTTATTTATTACATTAGTTTACAAATGATAGAGATTTTTTTATGAAAGTTCAAGTGGAATAAATTTGATATCGGTTAACAGAATATTTATGCATATAAAATTTAATCTGTATGAAATAAAATATTAACGTTTGGATTTATTCTCTTGCAGCTATTAAAAATTTTGCCCATGTGAAATTGCTATTTCCATTTAGTTATTAACAAAAAACATCGTGCCATGCGACTATAATCAACATAAAAATTTACTAAGTTGAATATATAATGTAGTTTAACAATTTAATTAATAATTGAATTAATGACATAGTAATTCTGATAAATGAAAATAACAGGAGATTTGAATTAATTTTAACGGCTTTAACAAATCGAAAATAACTTTAGGGTTTAACTACCTTATAGGTTTAATTATTATTTGCATTTTTAATGTTATTATTATTATTATTTTTTTTTTTTGACAATAACGGCTATCTTTGTAACTTCAATATATATCAAGAAAATGACAAATTATCCAAGAAAATCAAGGAAATTTTAGAGAAATATTAAGATACAGAGCCCAAGGAGATGACCGTTTAAAATCATTTTGGGAAGCTGAAGAAACAATAAAATATACACGTGAAACACTTCAAAATGAAATAATTGAATCCTGTAATAAAATTATTTTAAATAAAATCGTAACAAACATAAATGCCCAAAGATGTTTCAAAATACTCGCTGATGAAACGGCCGACATTGGTAGAAGCAAACAAGTAACTTTGTGTGTTCAATATTTAGATGTTGAAAATATGATTATCAAGGAAGAATTCTTCAGTTTGTGCCTACAACAGATACTACTGGAAAAGGTTTATATATTATTATTCAAAGTTTACATTCATTTGGTGTAGAAACAAAATACGTTAGAGGACAGTGTTACGATGGATGTGCTTCTATGTCTGGTCAATTTAACGGAGCTCAATCTCTTATTCACCATAGTTATCCGCTTGCAACGTTTGTTCATTGTGCTGTTCATGTTTTAAACCTTGCTATTTCTTATTCATCTTCTATACAAGAAACACGAAATTGATTAGGAACAACATCTAAAGTTAGAGATTTTTTCATATACCCAAAGCGAAAAGATGTGTTGAAAAGTCAAATCGAAGAAAGTCAAAAATGTATAACTAAAAAATCATTAAAACAATTATGTGCGACTAAATGAGTTGAACGTTTTTATGCTGTCAATGATTTTCTTGAGCTTTTTGTGTACCTAATTGAATCGTTATTTATAATTTCGAAGTGGAATGACACTGAAACATCATCAAAAGCAAGTAATTTACGAACATCAATACTGAAAGGAGATTTTATTATTTGTTTACTTATTATAAATAAAGTATTTAGTTATGAGTTACTTTGTTTAAAACAACTTCAAAGAAATTAGCAGGTACACAGCATTGTTATTATCAATGGTAGTAAGGCACATTGTTGTGAGTTTATAAATACACTAACTGTCAATACAGAAAGTATATCTATGATAGTCATAATTGATAATAAACAATCCGTGACTGCGACATTGATATCATATAAATCATTTAGCTACCTGTATCATATCATCATGTGTATTATATATGTATATTAACTCAAAAGTTTGAAACATTAAATTNATATTAACTCAAAAATTTGAAACTTTAAATGTTTATATCTAATAAACTAATAAAGTTATATTAAAAATTCAAATGCCATTTACTATTTAATTAAAAATCCAAACATTTTATTATATTTAAAATATGTGTTCCCATTTAAAAGACAAAAAGACATAGTTGACACCCTTACAAGGCATAACGGATGAACATAAAAAGTTTTAAATAGTTAATAATTTAAGAATAATGTGAAACTAAAGAAAACCAAAAATAATGTTTAAATTATATTTATTCTACAAGTAAATGAGTGGGTTATGATAAAAAAATCAGTCTGTATACTGTAATATAGTTTATCATTTGTAAAGGTGGAATGAAAACATTTTTGTAATGTTTTATTTAATTGTAATTTCCTGATCTATTATTACTAGACCAGGAATTAAATATTTATAAACATTTTTGAAAACGATAGTATTATTAATTTTGCAAAAAGAAGAAAAACAAAACATTTTAGTATATAAGACGAAATGGAATGAATCGTAGAGGAGAGAGGACCCTCAGGAACACCGAAGGTAATCTCTTTTCGCGCGGTACGATTATGACATTAAGTTTTCATTTTGTGTATTGTTTTATTGTGTTTTTAATGTATATTTATTTTGTATGTTTAATTATATCTATAATAAATACATTTGAGTTATTATTAAACTATTATTACTTTAAGTTAAGACACTAGGGTTGTTTCTTTTAAGATACAACAGTACCAAAATTTCAAATTTCAAATTATTTTTCAATTCCTAAAATAGTAAGTTTTTTTTACGCCAGTAAACATTTCTATAATTTTCGTTTGTGAGGTTCATTAAAAGTTGGACACCACCCGAGAAATCATTCAAAATACGCCACTGGCGGCACTATCCAAATACCTTCACATTTCAACGGCTCTCTCGTCAAAAACCAGTTATTTTATACTTTGTTATCAATTAGCAATCGCTTATCTGATTTTATAAAATCATTGTTACTATTTACGGGTGATGATACTTAAATTTTAATTATACTGTGTTCATGTTTAACACGCTTTTATTAGTTTCACCTGTATAAATATTTGTTTGTAATTTTCCACGCGCCACGTACTATTATTCTACCGTTTCCCGTCATCTATGACCTTGAGACTAGACTGTCGTAACGCATTCACCCCAACCCGCTAACCAAACGCCGATAACAATATATTCCTGTATAATTTTAATTTTGGTTTTCGTACCTGTACACGCGTGCGTATCATCAATATTATATATATAAACTAATTTTTATTGTTTATTATGAGATATAAACATTTAAAGATTCATATTTTTTTGAGTTAATATACATGTATAATACATAAGGGGATACAAATACAGGTATGTAATTGGTTTTAGCTTCGATGCGAAGCTGTTTTATGATGATATTCGCAGGTATATAGCTTTTATCACCAATGGTAATAAGATACATTGTTGTGAGTTTATAAACACACTAACTGGCAATACAGAAATTATATCTATTGATAGTGATAAATGTCAATAAAAACTCCATGACTGTAACAGCAATGTCATAAAAAACCAAAAAGTGAAAAATAAATTTAATTTAAAAAAACTAAAAAACACGTTTTAAAGCAAATCGAACTAAAAAGTTAAAAATAATTTTTAAAATAAGCTTAAAACAATAATAAACAAAAAATACTAATATTATTGTGAAAAAAATCGTCGGGCGCTCAATATACAAAAAATATGGCACAAAGCCCCCACGCTTTTTTTCACAATAATACTACTATTTGTCGTTCATTATTGTATTAAACTTATTTTAAAAATTATTTTTAACTTTTTAGTTCGATATGCTTTAAAAGCGTGTTTTTCAGTTTTTTTAACTATATTTATTTAGGATACGTGCCATAAGCCGTCAATAAATAATTAATTTGTGTTCTCATAAAATATGATTTAATATAAAACTTATTGGATTTTCTCTCCTGATACTCTGTGGATATTTCTATTAGTACTTAATGTTGGATTTAAGTTGAGAGATTCAATCAACTCAATTATTTGAAATAAAATTAGACATTCTACAATGTGAACATTATATTTGAATTTTAACATGATTGAAATATGATTGTAAATCAAGTTGGATCAGATATTGACTTTTTTAATAATTAAATTTTAAAAACAAAAAAATATACATATTTTTGTTAAATACATAAGTATAAATATTTAAATATATTTATTAAACTTGTATATATTTTCATATTGGAAGTCAACAATTATAGTCAATAATGCTAAAATGTTTTATACGAGTCTAATGCATGTAAACTTATTCTGACTGATATGGATATAGTTTGAAATTTAATTGTCATAGCAAATAAAATTGCTTTTAAGTCATTTTTGTAGTATGGGTTTGATAAAACCAAACAAATTTATTTATGTAGCTCAATATTACCTAATTTTATTGCAAAATATTTATTCACTAAATTGTTTCATTAGCCTATTATTAGAAGCTTGACAACTTCTTTAATAAATATTATTTTAAATTATTTTTTAACAATTATTTTCAAACAATTTCATTAATAATCATTAGCTTTGATGCGAAGTTGACTAATTTTATATAATGTGTTTTTTTTTATGCCTGTCGCTACTCTTTCTCTGCATTCACAGGAATATAAATAAGGAAATAGTAGCTTTTGGAATAATCCATCAATTTTTTAAAATTAAACACTATCTACTGATTTGCATCGAAGCGTTTTTTATGATAGTGATTTTAAACACTGTCAGATATCATCTATACTGAGTCCAACCATACCACGTCCTATTGTGCTGAATTTTTATTTCTGTTGCCACTGATTCTCAGCTATCACAGAACCCATTTCTTTCAATGATACCTCAAAAGATAACAAATCCTATCTAGTTGAAGACGTTACACTAAAAAATCGAAAAAAAATTCCCTTTACTTTTAAATAAAGGAAATCTCCCAAAAAATTATGATTTTTAAAATAAGTAAATTTCGACATTTTTTTGTATACTCCTTCCCACTAAACCACAACTCCATTACCAAAAGTCTATGTTGTGTAGTTACACCCTCACCTGGTATAACTTTACAATCTTTTACTCGTGTTACTTATTTATTTAATGTTCATTCCTCTTTCTAAAATAAGTATTAATCACAGCAAGATCATACGATGCTACGAAATTCAATATTCTTTCTCAAGTCTCATTCTTCCTCCATGTACTCCTTCTTGTCCTTTTCTCTCATTATCGACATGTCCATTCAAATCTCCACCAATCCCCGCAGGGATAAAATTTACTTTTATTAGTAATTATAAAATTTCCTGACTGCAAATTAATCCTTACAAAACCATCTAATGATATCAATTCTAAACTTGCGGATTAAGCCAAAATAGTGTTTAAAAGTTCAAAACTTTTAAATTATAAACCTTCATTAAAATCAACTTTAATGAAGCAAAAAATAAATTAGTTACATGACATTTTAAATCAAAATTTTTCACGTATTATTTTTAACACATTAAAAATCAAAATCAATGATAATATAAAAATAATTTTTTTTTTTTGAAATGTATTGCATCAAGTTCAATAATTTTTGTATACGTTTAACTTAAAAATAACAACTACTATCTGTAGATTTGCATCGAAGCATTTATTATATAATAGTGATTTTAATCACTGTCAGATATCATTTATCCTTGTCCCAACTAGGTCACGTCAATACTGTGCCACAACCCAACAGTGCAACCGTTTTTTTAATGAAAATTTTAAAGTTTAAACTCACATATTAATAATTTTTTAATAAAANTATTTTTGTATGATAATTATGGGTTTTGTATTTTATTTTAATAGAAGTTGATGTTGCTTTTGCAATTATCCATCAATTTTTTAAAATTAAACACTATCTACAGATTTGCATCGAAGCGTTTCTTATGATAGTGATTTTAATCACTGTTAGATTAAATCTAGACTGAACCCAACTATGCAATGTCTCCACTATGCCGCGACCCCACTGTGCTACCGTTTTTTTTATGTGCAGATATTAATATCCTTTTGAATGATAACAAAACGTTCATAATTAAAAAATAAAAAAACACCATACAAAAAAATATTTTTATATTTATTAAAACGAGTTAGTATTCATCGATGAAGTGAAATTTAATACATTAAATCACACCCAAGCAACTTTGACTTCAGGCCCTTCTAATCCTTGTATATCTGTAATATTTTTACAGATTTTATTCTCCTCTTCACACATGGTTTGGTATGGTTTTTTAATGCATTTGTTATTTGAATAACAAATTCTTTCTTTTGCTTTCAAATTCACATTTAAATAATCAGTACACAAGCCAGTCGAATGTTTGATCAAATTAAACCAGCCACTAGATTTAAAAAAACGAGCAATGTATTTGCCTTGACCCTCATACATAGGAGATAAAATTCCTAAACTAGAGAGTTCTTTTCGTGATTCGTAAGTGCATTCATTTTTATTTGTCAGTTTACCATAAGGGCACACCATTTGAGAACACTTGTTGATGGATGCTTTGAACACATAAAAGGCTTTGCTGTGTGCACAAATTATTCCATAAAAATTACAGTCGACTTCATCTATATAAATATCAATATGACCAGCTTCTTTGATCATGCCTAGCATAGAACTGGCATGAATAACATCAACAAATTTGGCGTCAGTTTTACGTAAGGTATGTTTTGTGATAATTGGAAATATCTTTCCAATATAGAAGTTAAAGCCATATTCAAATATTGGACCAGCTGGGTCCATTGCTAAAAAAATATTATAGATATTTTATTTTTTATTTCAATAGTCAGTACTACAAAGTGTTCAGTAAGTTAGGAAACAGTTAAATTGTTACAAACAATGAGTACAATAGAAATTCGTTTCCTTATTTACTGAACACCCTGTATAGAGTAACACATGGGCACAGTTTTTTCATTAAAAATGAGGTTAATTCCAAAATACTAGTGCCCTCTATATGTTAGGTATGGGTATTTTCAGCCCATGTGTTGAGCTAATTATTTATTAATTCCATAAAAAAATATATGTATACAGATTCGTTTATTATAAACATCTCAATTACTGTCAAAATAAATACAATATTGAAAAAATAATTGTTTTATTTTTTAGTTACATATATTTTTTGATTTACAGCTATTTATTACTTTTAAGTATCATCCCTTATAAATTATTCGTAAATCTGTTAACTTTATTTTCTCAAATATAAATATACATATTTAACTAGCTTATAACAAAGGAAATTATTTAATTAAAAAGATCTCCCTCACTCTATATTTTAAAATTATCATAACTTCTGAATTATTGATCCAAAAGTAAATCATATCTACTCTATGTATTAAAATGCTTATAATTCAATAAGTACTTATTCTTTAATTGGTATTGATGAATGAAAATTTTTTGTAAAAAAAATAACAATTAATGGCTTATTTGAAATTTTGAAAAAAATATACAAATTAACTGTATAATTGGAAAGAATAAGTTTTCAAAAGTTTTCCTTTAAATTATACGTATATTTTAGCTTCGATGCGAAGCTGAGAAGGTATTGATATTACTATGATGTGTTTTTTTTTTTTTGTGTCTGTTACCACTTTTTTTCAGCTCTCAACGAACGGATTTCTTTCAACGATACGTCAAAAGATCACAAATTGTATCTAGTCGAAGACATTACCCTCAAAAATTGAAAAAATTTAACTCGTTCCCAGTAAATGGGGGAAACCACCAAAAAAATAACAAATTTAAAAATCGCTAAGTTTTTCAATTTTTTTTTTATATAGATGCTTGATGTCTTTACCTATTATTTGGTAAATTATTTCCATAAATTTAACACTTTAGCTGCCCAAAGGGGGGGATTTAAAATGACAAATTTTTCACAAAAGAATAACTTTTTAAACTTAACTTTTGAAAGTGTTCCGGAAGGTCTGACACATATATATATCTTATATTAAAGCTAATGTAATTTACTTTATTATGGAAAAAAAAAATTTTACCTCTGGACTTGTCTTCATGGTAAAAATAGATATCAAAGTTAATAAAAAATTACGTTTTTTGTAAAATAATTCTTTTTTATATTTTTAACTTAATAATGCTATAACTTTTTAGAAAACGTATGGATCAGGAAATTTTTTTTTTATAAATCTGATACTTTAACTACCCATAGGGGGGATTTAAAACTTTTTCAACTTAACTTTTTAAAATGTTCCGGAAGGTCTGACACTTTTATATATATCTTAAATTAAAGCGAATGTAATATACTTTGATTTGAAAAAAAAAAATTTGACCTCTGGACTTGTCTTCATGGTGAAAATGGCTACCAAATGCTATTTTTGTGTGAAAAATCTCGATTTTATTTTTTACATTTTTAACTTTATAATGCTGTAACTTATTGAAAAATGTATAGATCAACACAATTTGTTTATGAGAAATAATATTTTAGCTTCGATGCGAAGCTGAGAAGGTATTGATATTACTATGATGTGTTTTTTTTTTTTTGTGTCTGTTACCACTTTTTCTCAGCTCTCACTGAACGAATTTCTTTCAATGATACGTCAAAAGATCACAAATTGTATCTAGTCGAAGACATTACCCTCAAAAATTGAAAAAATTTCCCTCGTTCCCCGTAAATGGGGGAAACCTCCAAAAAAATTACAAATTTAAAAATCGCTAATTTTCGAAATTTTTTCAATTTTTTTTACTTAAAAGTGCCATAACTTTTTCAAAAATGAACATATCAATATAATTCTTTTTTATATAGATGCATAATATCATTACCTTTCATTTGGTATATTTTTTTCATAAATTTAACCCTTAACCTGCCCACAAGGGGGGATTTAAAATGACAACTTTTTCACAAAAAATTAACTTTTTCAACTTAACTTTTTAAAATGTTCCGGAAGGTCTGACACTTTTATATATATCTTAAATTAAAGCGAATGTAATATACTTTGATTTGAAAAAAAAAAATTTGACCTCTGGACTTGTCTTCATGGTGAAAATGGCTACCAAATGCTATTTTTGTGTGAAAAATCTCGATTTTATTTTTTACATTTTTAACTTTATAATGCTGTAACTTATTGAAAAATGTATAGATCAACACAATTTGTTTATGAGAAATAATATTTTAGCTTCGATGCGAAGCTGAGAAGGTATTGATTTTACTA